TCGCGGGAGAGCTGAGGCTGCCGCAGGACCCTCTGTGACGGGCAGGGGACAGCGGTGGCGGCACGGGAGGGCAGTGGGTCAGGGGCTGCTTCGTGCCCAAGAGTGATGGCCGTGGGGGGGCCCGGAGCAGCCCGGCAGCCCCAGCGCGGGGTAGCGGCTCACAGCGGGGCTCCTCGGCCCGGCCGTGCGATCCCGGCCGCCGGCGGCAGGTGGCAGCGCCGGGGGGACGGACGGTGCCCGGATCGGTTTTTGAGAAGAAACCGAGGTTTTTGTGCGAAAGGGAAAAGAAAGTCCGTAAGCTCTCCGGGGTTTCGCGGCTTTTTGTTAGCGAGGAACTTGGGACAACGCTTCCTTGCACTTGTGGGGCTCGGTGTCAGCAGGGATGAGCGACAATCCCTTGCGGGCTTCCTTTGCAGTTTGCAAGCCTGAGGGATTTGGGGTGAGAGGGCAGAAGGACATCCACCGTGCTCCGCATGGCAGCAGCTATGCACGGAACGGAGCTTGGAATTAAAGCAAGTCGTGTGGGCTCGAAATTAAAAACAATCACGTGGCTCTCCAGGGGAAGGAGTGCGAGGCCGCCTCCTGCTCATGGTTTTATGACAGCTTGGCCCCATCCGTGCTTTTATCCTTGCGGGATCCACCTCTCCTATCAGAACATGGCCGAGAGCAAAATAAAAATGAAAAGCAAACATCTAAAGCTTCGCCACTCAAGGAAAAGGGCATTTGACCCTTCTTTTCAATTTAGAGAGGGATGTTTTTTACTTGGAAGGCTCAGCCGCAGCAATTAGCCCTCGGGATCCCCTGCAGAGAAACAAATCCGTGCTGCTGCGCTCCGCTCCTTGAGAGGAGGTGACTTTATTGCACCCTCCAGCCTGATGTGCCCTCTCCCATTGCTCCTGGGAGGCTGCGGGCACTGGGAGAAAGGGAAAGACAGGGAATAATGATAACGATGATCATTAATAATAATCAATACTATGGATAATAGCTCCGCTGGCTTGCTGCCCCAGGGCTGCCCTTCATCCCTGCCCTCTCTCCTGCTGCCCTGCATCATCCCTCTTCCCATGTGACATGTATCCCTTGCTCTGGCTTCACGGAAAGTTATTCCTTAGGAAAGGAAGGACGAGTTACTCATGCAGCAGTGACTTTCTAAAGGAGCTCTGGCCGCTGCCAGAAGGAGAGCTGTCACCAACACTTGGTAACGCCCATCTTTCTTGGCTTTAAAAAAGCAAAACAAGTAAAAAAAAAAAGCCAAAAAAAAAAAAAGTGTTTTTTTTCCCCCCAGTTTTCATTTTAATGGCTTTTTTTTTCCTACTTCTTGTGCCTAGATTTCCTTCCCCTTTCTGTTTAGTTTTGTTTTCAGAAGCGAAACAGCAGAATAGCGGGGGAAGGTCGGGGGAAACGATGGGAAAAGCAAAAAGATGGAATACAATCAGTGACAAACAAAATAAAAACCCGTGTGTTTTGTTTTTATAAAGATATTGTGGAAACATAAATTTCACTTCAGGGCTGCGTGCTGACCAATATTTTGACGTTTTCCAAGAAAAACTTCCAACCATCCCAAAACAAAGCTTTCCCAGAAGGGTGAGGTATGGGACCACCATGCAGACGTCCTTGCCCTTGTCTTGCTGGTAGCAGGAGACATGGGAGGCAGAAGACACGGGATTAATCGTGGTTTGACCATGCCTTTCCTATTCTATGATCTTTTCCCTTGGTGCCCCAAACCATCCCAGGCATTTGCTCATACGGCCCTGACAGGCTGAGTCACAGATCAAGAAATGCCTTTCCTGCTGACATACCACTTATTCCTCGATAAAAGTTGATTAATCACAGTGCCCTGCAACTTACAGTTGTTGCAAGGCTTCCTACGGGCTGTCTGTTGTGATAACAGAACGGGGGAGTTTTCATGTTGGTCCGGTCTGAATCACCCCAAATGCCACCGTCACCCCTCTGCCAGGGCAATGCTGATAGTGGACATTTGCAATGGGTTTTCTGAGCTGTGGTTGTGCGTCATGGATTTTCTTTCATGTGCTGGATTTGGGGAATGGGACTCCGAATACCAGGATGCTGACAGAGCACTCCTTTTTATTACTCAAGCTACGTCAGAAATGAGAGAAGAATTAAAAGCGGCCTGTTGGGAGCGCACACCCTTCTGCTGGGGACCTGGGGACACGGGAGACCCCAAAATGAGGTTAGTGCTCCTCTGTGCCACCTCGCTGACCAATCTGATGGCGTTCTGTGATGGCGTTGGTGGACAAAGGAAGGGCAACTGATGTGACTGCCTGGACTTGTGCAAGACCTTTGACAACAGCTGCTGGTTGGGTGCAGAGGAAGGCATAGAAATGCTCAGAGGGCTGCAGCACCTCTCCCATGAAGGAAGGCTGGGGGAGGTGGGCTTGTTCAGCGTGGAGAAGAGAAGAATCTGAGGAGACCTTATTGCTGCCTCCCTGTATCAGGAGGGAGCTTATAAGCAAGAGGGGGGAGTGACTTTTTACGTGGTCTGATAGTGACAGGACAAGGGGGAATGGCTTTAAACTAAAAGAGGGAGATTTAGGTTAGATGTTAGGAAGGAATGCTTCAGTCAGAGGGTGGTGAGGCCCTGGCAATGCTGCCCAGGACTGTGGGTGCCCCATCCCTGGAGGTGCCCAAGGCCAGGTTGGATGGGCCCTGGGCAGCCTGAGCTGGTGGGGGGCAGCCAGCCCATGGCAGGGGTTGGGGCTGTGGGGCTTTGAGGTCCTTTGCAACCCAAGGCATTCTGTGAGATATTTTTTAATATCTCCCCACCCTAAGGAAATCTGGGGGAATTAACTGATACCTTCTGTAAACGATGGTTGACACATGGCTCAGTTTATAGAGGACAGAGGGGTTTTTGAGTTCCTCTGTGCTCAGCTGGACGAAATTTGCCAGCCCCTGCCTGAGGAAACACGGAGAGTTTTGCTTACACAAGCACAGTAAGCTCTGAACTCCATGAGCTTTCTGTAGAGCCTTGCACCATCCCCAGCACTTGCACAGCAGCTGGAGTCACTCAAGGAGCACGGTGAGTCCTCAGGAAAACCCCATCTCTCCTCTGTCACATTGTCACCAGCAGATCTGCTTGGCAAGGCATCAGCCTCACTTACCAGCCTTGAAAGAGCCAAATGCCAAGAAATATTTACAGAAAATAAAGATAAAAAAGAGGAAATGAGCAGACACTTAAAGCATTTGTTTTTGCAGTGTCTGCCTTTACAGGATTTGAAGCAAGGCACATGGTATTTTTGCAGATTATATGTTAACATTACTCAATATCTTTTCTCTGAATTCTACTGGCAGAGTCTGTTTCCTTGCAGCACCTTTCTCACAAATGGGAAAAAACAGATGTGGGATGGGTGGCTGAACTACTGGACTGCTATCCTAGGTCACTGCAGGTTTGGGTTGGTGATTTGATTTGAGGATAGGCATTAAGCAATCACTAGAGACGTGTTCCATTAGATTTTATTGGTGTTTGATCAGAAAAGCAACATACAGTGCTGTTCAGCATGCGAGAACTTTCTTCTTTCAGTCGAAGGCAGCCAACAGCTGTGGTGCTGTGCCACTGCTCTGGGCATCACAAAGCACAACTCAGTACTGACATGCAGTTTTTACATAAAGTGAGGTATGCCTGGGTTCTTGGACCATAAAAACCAAGCAATAAACAGTTGAAAAAACACTTCAAAACATTGGGGATGTGTTGGCTGGCCAGTCCTGCCATCCTGACAGTGAGATGGTTATGGGACCTGCTCAGTGTGTGCAGATGAAGCGACGATGAGATTCCCTCTCTCCTGACTGTAAGCCTGAGCTGTCTGATCCCATTCTATTTGCTTTAGCCCAAGGTTTTCACCCTGGGCTCTGGATAACCGATGAGGACACACACCGAAACGTTCCTGCTGCTTTCATGGTGGAAAGAAAGGGAGATGGGATTATCCAAGTGGAACAGCACCAGATTGGAGGGAGCAACATCAGGAAATACTCAGCTTGGAAGAGCCACACTGAACCTAAGCACGTATTAGTGCCTTCCTGCCATAGGATCTGCTGCCCTGGTGGTGCAGTATGTATATCAGAGCACACCAACTGGGCAACACAAATCAAGATTACAGCTTTTACAGAGGGAATGAACAACTCCCAGGTTTTTGCCTGCTCTGAGTCTGCGCTTACACTTCTTTTTCCCTTTCTCAGAGTGGAGTCGATGCTGTGTGTAGAACAGTTAAATGATACCATAATAGGAAAACCGTGGCAGAAAAGCTCCCGAGCCTATTATTGTTTTGAAAACACCTTGGCTTTTGATCCAGCAAACCCAGCAGCCCTGAACTGGGGGGCACATCACTGTGATTGCTCCTTCCCTATACAGACCCTGAGTTAGTGCAGACCGACCATGCAGGCTTCATGCTCTGTATGTAGGTTATCCCACTGATTTGGGTGGGATTATTCATCTGCTTAATTTATTCATGTATTCAGAAAGCTCTGCTGGCTTGCTGTCATAACAAAGACACGCTATGAATTTTCTGCAGGACTTCCAAGAACGCCACTGCTGCATTTGCTGCTGCTCCAAACCACTGTGTGGAGAAAAGGAAGCACAAGCAGAACATTAAAAAAACATTTCTATCAGCTAGGAGCTACACTTTCCTGTTTTGTTTTGTTTTACAATGGAGGAATGAAGAAGAAAGAACAGCAGGAAAGGGGTTTCTTCCACATGCGGAAGAACAGGATGCAGGTCAGTGCCTGCAGCAAAATCCTTTGTGTTCAGTTCCCATTTCTGTTGCAATTAAGCCTCAAGTATACAATAAAAACAGCAGAATCTTCAGGAAACCGATGTACCCTTCAAATGAATGCAGGCTGTGAGCTGCCTCCCTGCTGCTAGGGTGAAGGGTGCTTGCCTGCATTGGGACAGTCAGGATGCAGCACTGCTGGGGGTGCTCCCATTTCTCTGTCAGCCAGCAGCTCCATCTCTTGCTGCTTCCCCGCAGTACAAATCCAGAGGGAGATGTGTCTTCCCTCTTCTTTGCAGGACCGAGCCTGAGATGGGGGAGAAACTTCACCCTGAGAGAGCATTTGCTTTGAAGGGTGTTTAGAGGTTTTATACAGTAGTTAGTGAACACACAACATCCAGTACATTGCTTACAGGGATGGATGGAGAAAACATTCAGCCCAGACCCCACGCATGCTTAACTCAAACAGTCCTGAAGCCCCACCACCCCTACAGCTCCTGCTTCGCTGGAGGGTCTTTCTGCTGCTGGGCTTCTAAAATGCTTATTTCTACGGCTTCTGTAATGACAACTTCTAAAAAGCAACAACAACAAAAATATCAACAATGAAAGCCAGCTGCTTGTGGCTGCAGCTAATGGCTCTTGCCACAGTGAAACACTTCAAAATGTGAACCCTGTTTCACTGAGAACAAGAGGAACATGGGGGTTGAACGGCAGACTGCAGAATGCAGTGTAGGTAAGGAGAGGGACTCAGTCATAAACATATATATTTTTTTGAATGACAAGGGATTGGTGGTGGGGGAGCAGGGAAATTGCTGCTTTGGAAGCTCCACAATTTAAATCTGAGAAGGGGAGACCGAATAACAGATGAGATTAATAGTTTTCTCTTAGGAAGCCAAATCAGTATTCTCCTTGGCTGCAATTTCCAAGTCCTGTGAGGTTTTGCAGAGCTGAGGAGCAATGCAGGCAGGGAACCCCTACACCATTCCATCTCAAGCTCTCTGCTCCTTCCCCATTAACCCTTCACTTTGGGAAGCTGAGGTTTACACATTTCAGCTAACACTCCCAGCATGATTTGGGCTGCCTTCATATCTGCTCACCCAACACTTGCACCTGCCTTGGGGTTGGGATCGGATCCTGCTTTGCCCAAAGCTCCAAGACAGGCTCTCAGACACGAAGGCATGCAAAATCATCTCGGAAAGAACATCGCCCACCCCACTTCACTTTGGATTTCCTTTGCTTGCAGCCCCGCAGCGTGGGCACTGTTACCTGCGCTCACTGCCTGCCCTGCTGCGGCTCTCGGGCTGCTCAGGCACCCAGCAGTAGTTGTCCGCCGCGCTTTTGGCTTTTGGTTTCTCCTGCCTAGCCGCCCTCTTTCTGCAGGCCACCAGGGCCAGGGCAAAGGCCAGCAGCAGCAGGATGGCCACCAGGCTGCCCAGGATGTAGTAGAGGAGCAGCCGGGGGCCATCAGCGCCATGCTCGGGGCTGTGCTCCGACACCACCACTGTGGGGGCTGGTGGTGTCAACCCACCGGGAACGGCTGCAGGGCTGGGGGTGCCCACGGTCCACGCGGTGCTGGCAGTCTGGAGGATGGCGGTGGTCCCCATGGTGCCTGCCAGCTGCTCTCCTGTGGTGGGTGCAGCGAGGCAGCTGTGTCCATCGTCCTGCAGGAGGAAGCCAGCCGGGCAGATGCACTTGAAGCTGCCGGGGAAATTGTGGCAGGACCCGAGACAGGGGTCTCGCAGGCACTCGTCCACATCCAGGCAGGCATCGCTGCCAGGCTGCTGCTGGTAGCCGGCCTTGCAGGTGCAGCGGAAGGAGCCGGGGACATTGAGGCAGAGCTGGGGGCAGGCATTGGGCCGGGCGCACTCATCTTCATCGCGGCAGTCGTGGCCATCAGGCCCTGCTGTCTGGTAGCCGGGCTGGCAGGAGCAGTAGAAGCTGCCAGCCGTGTTGTGGCACTCGTGCTTGCAGGGCTCCTCCAGGCACTCATCCACATCCACGCAGTGGAGGCCATCAGGTGCCAGGACGTAGCCAGCCTCGCAGATGCACTCGAAGCCTCCGGGCCGGGGCTGGCAGGTCCCCTGGCAGGGGTTGGGGTGGCAGGCATCCTCGGGCAGACAGGAGGCCATGTCGGGGCCCAGCACGTAGCCAGGATGGCAAGTACAGTATGACGGCTGCCCAGATGCCTCCACGCACAGCTGCTGGCAGCCCCCGTTGTTGTAGGTGCAGGTGTTGGGGCAGAGGGGCCCAGGAGGATGCCAGGCAAAGCTGTCCCCCTCCAGCTGCCCCTTGCATACGGAGAAGGCCGGGCTCGCAGCCCCCTCGCAGACCACCTCTGCCAGCGTGCCAAAGGGGGCGGCTGCCAGTGCTGGGCTGCGCACCCTGAAGGGCGTCTCGTAGCTGACCCGGCCGGGCCCCCCGAGCCGCAGGGGCCCGCACATCCCCCGGAAGCTGAACTTGCAGAGGAAGGCGGGCAGCGTGGCCCGGCACGGCCGGTCGACCCATCCTGGAGGCCCCTGGGGGCTGGCGGGCCGCAGGGCGACGCAGCGGGTGCTGAGGCAGGTGACGTGGGGCTCGGCCAGCCAGGCTGAGTAGTTGCCGGGCTCCCCGCCGGCCGCCCAGGCGAAGCCCCTCAGCGGCTCCTGGGACTGCACGCAGTGGCCGCGCTCCAGCCGCAGCCCGATCCACGCCGAGGCGGCCGCGCTGGCTGCCAGCAGCTGCTCAAGTCGCTCGGCCTCGGCCCGGCTGCTTGCTGGAGCCAGGTTGCCGCCGTTGTGCTGGCAGCGCTCTTGTGCAGCACTCCATCCCAGCTCGGCCCGGTGCAGCGTGTAGCAGGCGGTGTCGGCGCAGAGCACCTCGGCGTCCTCACCCCGTGCCACCGCCGTCACCAGCAGCAGCAGCCACAGCGGCAGCAGCAGGGCCGCGGCCATCCCGCCGGCTGGACGGATGGACGGACACTGCCTCACATCCCCTCGGCCCGCCGAGCTCACCCCACGCGCATCCTGTGCTGCCGGGGCTCCTATTTATCACCGGAGGCTACTGCTTCCTGTAGTGTGGTTGCGTGTTGGTCACGGGCGGGATGTTTGCCTCTGTTTCTTCCCTTCTCCCCAGGCGAGGCTGGTTCCCATTTCAGGCTTTTCGCTGCAGAAGTGCTTTCTTTATTTTGGCCGGCGCTGTTTTTCTGGATGAGAAAGCAGCCTGCATCCTGCTTTTTTTTGGTTCGGAGGGCTAGCTCTGCTCGCTCACCCGCTAGATGACTTTTCGAATCCCTAATAGGGCCTTGTAGCTTTCGAGCACGTATGGCTGAAAGTGGGCAAGAAAACAAACCCGACAAGCCGTGGGATCCCTCGCTATCCGCCTATGAAAGAGACAGAATATTTGGCACGGTGTCTAGTGCACAGAAACTGCATTTTCAGAGCACTTTTCCCCTCTTGGTGCGCTTTAAATAGCTGGACGAGCCCTGGAATAGGAGCTGGGTCGTGAGAACCTCCATGCTGCCAGAAGGGAGCTGAGCCCATGGAAGCACCGCCGCAGCCCCAGCCCCATCCCAATATCCCCTCACCTGACCCCAATCCCAGTGCAGGGCAGTCTGCTGGGTTAAGTTGGTGTCAGTAGCTCCACAGGAGGCCGTCAGTTCCAGGGCAAAGATGTGAACGCAGTGCTCTGTGATGTTTAAACAAACACATAGCAGCTATTTATTCATTCCTTTATTTATTTATTTTCTGCAAACTGGCCTTCTAAAGTCGATTCCTGCCAGTTCAAGCAGTGTTTGCAGAGAGGTCAAGTTGGTGACAGCATTACAGGCTGAATAACAGCCCATCCTGAGAGCTGCAGAAAAGCCTCTCCTGATACAATGCTCCTTTTGCTTTCCATTCGCTGTTTGGAGGTCTCTGGATGGAGGTGAATGGGCTGGAGAGGCTCGATGACACTGAGCAATGTGGGACTGCTCATCTGCCCAATCATATAAACGTCTGGTAAGCCAGAGGGGGGAAGAACAAAAGAGCCAAGTGCTGATGTGGAGCACAGCATCTTGGCACACCACGGGGCTGCCATGGGATGTGAAGAGAATGGTGTGATAAGCAGAGCTGGGATGAGGAACAGCTGCAGTTGCGGATGTCTTCATGCCTGCCACATCTACCCAGAGGCTGGGGCACTGCACCTGCCTCTGTTGGGGCTAAAGAGCTGTGGGGTCTGAGCTACCTGGGCTCCATCTCTATTTACATCCTAAATATGAAAGTCTCCAAAACCTAAAAACTACAGATTTTAGTTCTCATTCTGCAGACTTGCTCACATACCACATCCCTGGGTGCTGTGTACCCATTTCTGGCTTCCAGACCTTGGCACACCTAAAGCTGCCACAACCTTCAGCCCGACAGAGAGGACAGGAGATGCAATCCTACTGCCACATCCCATGAAATCCACTATGGGGATGAAACCCCAGCTATGGGATGGTGGCATCTGCCTGGAGACAGCGTTGCTTATGGAGAGCACAGCTGGCACTTGCAAGCCGTGGAGCATTCTGGTTGAGTAACCAAACTCCAGCCATTGGCTTGGAAGGAAAAAATACTTTGATGCCATCTAGAATTATTTTTATTCAAAATTTCCTACTGGAAGAAATGGGAAGAATTCCCTCTTACATGTTACAAAATAACAGTGCTCAACACAAAAGCATTTCCTTTCTGTTACCCCAGAACATATCTTTCCTTCTGTAAAAACACTGCCAGTGTTTTCTCTTTCCAGCTGACACAGCCCAACAAACTGAGCACTCAGTCTACCATGTATTTCAGTCAACTCATACAAGCATTTTTGTCAAAGTTCCACGGCCAAAAATGGCCTGTTCTCAGCCCCAGCTCCTTTGAACCCTTTCCAGTGGGTGTTATGGACAAAACCAACAGTACTTAGATCTGCAATGAGAAGTGATGTGTAAGAAGTTGCCCCAGCTGCTTGATCAGTTGCTGGTGATATTTTTCCTTATGTTGTGCACAAGTTCTAACAGGGTCTAAGATGTGGCAGTCAGTGTCCCTTTGCAATGGATTAGATCAAGGCTGTAGCATCAGATCCTTTCCTTCCATTTGCAAGAATACAGGTAACAATTTTGTCCACTGGCTTTTTATTTTTAAATAAATGTTTGGCTTTTCCTGCTAGAGCTGTTTACAGGCTGGTTGCAATTCGGACAGGAAGCCCCCTCCCCCCCCCCTCTTCCCTGCACTTTTTAGTGAGATCTTCATCTACAAAGCTAATAATCATACTTTTGCCCACAGCTTTGGTAAGAGAGTAGGTTTTGGTAACTCAAAAACACATCATGCTTCTATTGCTTTTATTAAATACGTCACACTTACTAAGTTTGTTCTCGGTTGGGTTGATGCTCCTATTTAAAAAGCAAGAAAAGTCCTGGTTCTAAATTAAAGGGGTTTGGTTTCTCAACCCCCCACAGTTGAACAAGTCTATAAACCCCTGTCTGGGCTGCTAATCAAAACCAAATTATCTTCTCGAGACCAGAAATCCTGCCCAAAGGCACGCTGCAAATAAAAATAATAAGGACTTGGTTAAAAAACATTTCTCAGAGGCCAAAGAAGGAAATGTATACGGCCTGCCTGACATCATTCCCAAGTGTTTGTGCAGAAGGCTCAAGGCTAGGACAAGGGACAATGGCCCTGGGGGCGGGGGGACACCTGCACAAATAGCTGCTGAGAAGAATAGGAGGAACTGGGTTTCCTCTGGGACCCCAAGGACGAGAGCAAGAGCAGGGCCTCACCATCCTGATGCCATGGGGATGGACACTGTAAGTCAGTGCAAGAGGCTGGGGTGAGACGTGGTGAGTGCAGCTGGGCTGGCTCTCTTGATGGTTTAGAATACCATTTATACAGCCTCCTCTGTGGCTTGCAATAACACCTGATTGGATTAGCGTGCTGTAAGGACAGGAACCTCCATGTCAGATCTTCATCATCTGCTTTTAAAGTCAGAAAATCTTACTAACTGGAATGTTTTCCAGTTGAACGTTTCTGAGGGTGATGCCTGGTGGCTGGAATTAGCAGGAGTGCAAGAAAAATGACCAACAGGAAGAAGGATACTGCTTCCTTTAGATTCTAGCTATCATCTCAATCACACTTATGGCAACAGTGGGTATGCTGGCTCGCATGCCTGGCAGGCAGGTGAAAAAGGACAGGGATTTTTTATAAGATTCTCATAGAAGGAACAGCTCTCAAAACCAGTTGTCTTCTGATTGTTTAACAGCTGTTTACAAGGGTGGACAGTGATAGGACAAGGGGGAATGGTGTTAAACAGAGACAGGGGAGGTTTAGGTTGGATATTAGGAGGACGATTTTCCCCCAGAGGGTGGTGAGGCACTGGAACAGGCTGCCCAAGGAGGCTGTGGATGCCCCATCCCTGCAGGCATTCAAGGCCAGGCTGGATGTGGCTCTGGGCAGCCTGGTCTGCTGGTTGGCGACCTGCACACAGCAGGGGGTTGGAACTGGATGAGCACTGTGGTCCTTTTCAACCCAGGCCATTCTGTGATTCTGTGATTCCATTCTATGATTGCTTATATGGTGGTCTATCCATCTCCATCTGTCAGTTGCACATCATCTTTCTGCTGAAATGCTAGCATCCGGTCATTTCAGACCCCAACCCACAGAGATGTGGGCCCCTCTCCCTGCCCTCCCTCTGCCAGCTCCTCCCAGACAGCAGCACCAGGAGCTGACACACTCGATGCAATGCTTCAGCCAGGCTGCCAAGAGCCCTGGAGTTATTTTAAAAAGCCTGGAAGGAACTAGAGAAGCAAGCAACTTTGAATACAAGGGGGGAAAAGCCATAACAACAAATAAAAAACACTTCCAAAACTCAGAGTGTAACAGGACGGATCAGTGACTGCCCAGCAAGGCTTTGCAAACAGGCGTGAGCGCACACACGTTATGATATCACATGCACAAGCATGCCTATTTGTATATGCATTTATGAATATTATTATTTTTTCTCTACGAGGAAAATGTTTGTTCATTTTTCTATTTTTATTAACAAGTGTTTATACGGAAGTTTTTCAGAAAAGCTAAGGAAAATATATCATGATCTTCGGTGGTAACTAAGTTATTTTCCTAAGCCCTTCCTCCAGTACTATGAGACTGCAGAGCCCCAGGGCCATGGCCACCCTCAGAGGGACCCTGATGCACATAGGTAGGTGCATATCTGGTGATGCAAGCACAACAGCTGCAGGATCAGGATGCCCCCAGATAGCGAGAGCTGTGAACACGCTGCTATCAGCAGTCATGAAAGGTAGCCCTGTAAGAGGAGTGCTTCCTGCTGCCACCTTCCTGCTGCCACAGCCAAGAAACAGAGCATGGCATCACACCTTGCTCTGGGCTTCTCCTTGTCCCCCGTTTGCTTTTGTGCTACAGGCAGTGCTTTCCATCCAGTGCTGAGACAGGGAGCGTTTGAGGTGGGGTGGGGATGCTCCAAACCTAAACACACGTGTCGGCAGGAAAAGGGCTTGGCAACATTTCAGTGGATGGAGAGCATGGGACTGGCTCCCATGTCCTGCAAAGCTCATGGGATTTTCCACAGCCTGCTGGCTTGGGAATGAAGCTGCTCATGGGCCAAGAGGACTGTAGAGGTGAGGAAAATGCAGCTGTCTTGCAGCCTGTTCTCTGACTGAGGACTGCTGTGCCAAAGAGAAGGGTCCTCTTCCTGTTTTTGTAAACAAAGAAAGGGTAACTGAAGTCATCTACCTGGACTTGTGCAAGGCCTTTGACATGGTCCCACACCGCATCCTTATCTCTTAGTTGGTGAGAGATGGATCTGAAGGCAGCACTACCCAGTGGAGAAAGAGTGGGATGGTGACAGCCAGAGCGTTGGGGTCAGTGTCTCTACGTCCAGGTGGATGCTGGTCATGAGTGAAGCCCCCTATGTGGACCAGTGCTCTTCAACGTTTTTATCTCTGCAAAACAGCCCAGCAGTGTGGATCCCGTACCCAGATAACACTCATACCATGTGCACACCTACATAAATAGTCTTCCTTCATCCCAAGGCAGCGCTAACAAACCTTTGGAGTTTCAAACAAACAAAAAAAGCTCCCAAGTAGTTTATGCGATGTGGAGGGTGTTTGTGTTACTCCTGCAAGCACATCTGAATTTTTGCTTCCAAAAGTTGTGAGTTTTGTGGGTTTTCCTTTCTGGCCTTACTTTCTACAGGCAGTGCCTGCACAATTTGGGTTTCCCAGCAAGGAGCCCTCCGCTGGCCAGCCGTGCCCTCCTCACTAATGACACCAGGGGAAATGATGTTTTTCCTAACAGCTCGAGACACCTCCAGTCCTGCCAAGC